GAGGGGGAGGGGAGGGCGCGCTTCCCAAGGCGGAGCTGGGCGGGAAAAGAAACGGTCGCCGCGCAAGCCGAGCCATGAAGGGGGAGGCGGCCTCACGCGTCCGAACGGTGCGCGCGCCTGTGCGGGCGGGGGCGCGCGCGACACAGCACACACGTGCACACACACGCACGCGCGGGGACATACATAGTGACACATATACCTGTATTTAGACACGCGCGCGCACACACACCCCTATAGACACATATGGACATAGTGACACATCTATATAGACACACCCACACACATATATATTTGTACATACATACACACATATATAGACACACACGCACACACATATAAATAAATACACGTGCACACAGATATATAGGCAGATATACACATACATGTATAGACACAGACATAGACACATAGGCACATAGACACGTGTGCACACATACGTAGACGCATACACATTTACATATGTATCATAAGGGGGGAATAATTTGAGGAACGTTTTATGTAGTATATATGAGGGTATTCATGCACACACACACACACACATATCTTGATCTTGCACATTTGTTTACAAACCCACACAAATAACAGAGATAGATATGTTCATTACATGATGTATATGTGTGTACTGTATATAGACTTCTTGTTTGGGCATATTTATATATACGCACATATCCCTCTGTGTTTTTATTATTAATTTATTATCTTGTTAAGCAAACTCAGCCTGTTGGGTTAGTCCGTGTCCCCCAACAGTTCACTAAGTGTTGACTATGGGGGAGGAGGTATTTTCCCCAAACTGGCATTCTCCACGTGTGTTGGGCTACAACTCTCGTCATCACCAGCCAAGTTGGTTGGGTGATGGGAACTGTAGTCCAAGGCATCCATACAAGGGCAGTTTTTTGGGGGGGGAAGAGTGAGAGTTTAATTGAAATCCATGCTCTTATTCTACCATTAAGCTACCAGTGGCAACTTTTGCTGGTCTTTTCAGGTATTTGTGATCTGGTGAGGCTGATTTCCAAGTTGCAGCAAATGGTTCACAGGCTGGAGAAGCAAAGGCTTTCATAATGGGAAGGCCACTAGATTTTACATGAGTAGATTAGTTAATAAACCTCAGAATGAAAATCACACTTTGCCCTTTAGCTTTGGAACTTGACTTGTTTTAAGCAAGAGTTCTGTGCTATGTTTGAAATTGAGATTTTTCTTTGAATTTCAGCCATAAAACCTAGATATTAAGCCAGGATTTTCTTTGGTAGCATTTGAAGTAGGCCAATGCTTTCCCTAACAAAAGTTTGTCCAAAAAAATTAGTACCTTGGCCAGGTATTCAATAAATAATCCAAATGTATTGCAATCCAATATAATTCCTATTGATTTAAAATTATGATGACAAATATGTTGCCCAGTCTGGTGCTGGATCCAATCTAGGTTCCTATAGAAGAATCACTGGTCATTGTGTAATTTTACAGGCACACATGAGCTCGGTTCAAACAAGGCTAAATGATGGGTAATTTGTGGTTCAGAGTATTGTGGAAACCCAGACAGTGTCTTAGTAAACCATCATGTTAAGTGAAAATATAATTTCTCTCTTGGGGCACAGAATTGTTAATGAATGCGTTCTTTTTTTCTTTTTCTTCTTCTTATTTGCCCTGCTTAGTTACAGGGTCTGCTTGTCGTGCATTGCACTTGCTTAGTTTTTACAGCAAAGTTTATTGATGTATGACGTGACATGGGGTTTTGCTTTTCAGCTGGCTTATTGTAGCTGAATACTATATATAT